ACTGAGGACAATTCATTAATGTTGTTTTACGTATATACCTTTATCGTAAAGAAACACATAACGCATGCGACCCATATCGTGGCCAAGAGGGAATAATGCTATACCGCGAGAAAGCGATAGAGCGAGAAAGCGAGAAAGCGAGAAAGCGAGAAAGCGATGTCCCCTCTCGGCCACCATATGATTCAAGTCTGACATGGTCCGTTTTTAGTAAATGTTGTCCAAACCCTGATTTTTCCGAGTACACTGATTTAAAGCATTATTTTCACTGTTCAAGCACTGGCGGTATACCTGAGCATACAGTGCCGTCCTCAGTTATCACTTCTATGGGGGCCACTTTCACGAAGACAACCATGACGAAGAGCACACACACCCCACAGGTGCTAATACAACAAAACATACTTATCAGTGAAATAACTTCTGTCTGTTAATGTTGTTGTCTAGGTCTACGAACGCTTGATGATGAAGGACAATCCAGGTGAGCTCCACCGTTGATGCCCTCATTACACTCAGTCACGGCATTCTCAAACAACACGACCTGTGTCTGGCTGGAGGCGCTATAGCGGACAACCTGGTGCTGGAATGTTTGGAGTGAGTTGTCATCCTTCCTGTTGTCCTCGATGTAGAACTTGACATGACTTGTGATGTGGTACACTCCTGCTGCCGGTACTGTGATGAATCCGTTCTTCTAACTCATTTCGTTCAATAAGAATTATCTTTTTATCAGGAACATAGTTTTACTTACCTCGTGAGTGGCTGCATTTACTGTCACATGAATATGATCCCGTGTTTTGCACGAAACCGCAACGACGAAAAAATTCATCATCAATGTGGAAGATAATTACTACACCATTGATGTTAATACGTTTGATAGATTAATGCCACATTGAACATTGCAAGGGAATTTGTCTGAGAAATACGATTGCCCAAATATACTTACATAAAATATGCTTGGTACAATCAGCAATTTAAAGTAGGTGATAATCACAGTACTGGAGTACAGCAACCTCCCGTACAGTGTATACTAAACTTTTAACGATTCAGTTTGCGCGATGGTCAGCTATGATTTCTGTAAAAACATATGTGGTTGGCATCTGTTGTTACCCATTACACTCTTCAAAAAAAAGAAACGCACAGATCGATTTTTAGTAAATTTATTGTACCTAATAAAGTTGATATATTTAATTTAATATCATAGATAGGGGCGGTCGGGTAGCCTAGTGGTTAAAGCGTTCGCTCTTCACGCCGAAGACCCGGGTTCGATTCCCGACATGGGTACAAAGTGTGAAGCCCATTTCTGGTGTCCCCTGCCGTGATATTGCTGCAATATTGCTAAAAGCGGTGTAAAACCAAACTCACTCACTCATTAATATCATAGATACAAATGTGAATTTTGTTTAGTTCGATAGTCACATGTTGTCGTTGTGCAAAGGCTTTTAAAACTGTTCATTGTCATGTCACATAAGGCCACAAGGTAGCTCTGAACTCAGTATCTTGTGTGACCACCCCGGGCAGCAATCGCGGCTCTACATCTCCTCAGCACTGACTGGATAAGTGTACGAATTCTGCCCAGTGGAAATCTACTTGTAACGCGTTGGCCAGTTGTAGGAGTGCCTGTGGCGTGTTCTGACGTTGACGTACACGTCGATCGAGTCCATCCCAGAGGTGTTCGGTTGGATTGCGATCTGGAGATCTCGACGGCCAGGGCAAGTCGTTGATGTTGGCACTATGGGGGTAGTCTACCGTGACACGAGCTGTGTGCGGTGGAGCGTTGTCCTGTTGAAACATCTTCCTCTTGCGGTCAATGATTGGAGGAAGGCGAGATTGAAGAATTTGATTCATGTTGCGATTTGCTGTCAAATGTCCCTGAACCACAAACAAGTCAAATCTCGTGATGTAGGAAATGCCCCCCCCCCCCCCCCCCCCCTGTGATGTTGAAGTGGCGTGCAATAGAAGACTGCGATCCCCCCTCTTTGGATATAGCGATGTTCCGATCGGCATTTTGGAACTTGAAAAATGTTGACAGTTGAATGACAAAGCATTGGCCTATGCTTGCCTTCTTGTAGCCACTACCACGTGTTACGAATGCAATAACTTGCACGTGCATTTTGATTTACTGTTTTCCTCCATGACATTTTTGAACAACTGTGAAGACAATGCCGTTTAAGACGCACCGTTTGTCGAATATCAGGCCAACAATATTTTCCAATAACATATATCCAATTTATATACCGGATTTTATGTGTTGTCAGGTTCAATGAACTACATACTACCTTTGCGTTTCTTTTTTTAAAGAGTGTATTTGTGCTCACCAGTTGTAGATAAAATATCTAATATAAAATTGTGACTCAGGTGTTAATTGGTCGCAGCCGACTTAATTGGCTGTCTACGAATCTGGTCGGTATCTTGTCAAAGTGTTGTTTTAGCTACTCTTATTTTATTGCTGTAATAAAGCTGATTAGCTAAGCCGCACCTATAATCAGTAGATCTCTAAATAAACCTCTGAACCTATTACCACGTTTTCATTAATTTATTCTTATTTAATGACATTCCTGATCATTTTGGAACCCAGCTCCATGACACGTGGCAAATATATATATATATATATATATATATATATATATATATATATATATATATATATATATATATATATATATATATAAGTATAGGATTAAACAGTAATATACACATACTATGGTGCCAGTTATGCAGGAATCATGGTTGTCTGTTGGTTATGATGAGTGTAAATCGTAGATGTCAATGTGCCTGTATTGTCTACGTCAACGTCAGTTCCACAGATGTGTGCAACTGGCTTCAGCAGGTTAAGTCCGGCAGATGTTTCTATTTGCATCAAAGTATTAATTGAGAGTGTTTGATTGCCAATGTTGTTATGTAACGGTGTGTCAGGTTAACATGGATGGCATACCCTAAATGATTCACGAGTACTGGAAGGATTCAGAGTAACCTGGAGAAGTTCTTTGCAGAAACGAAATGACATTTAGGAGATAAATCTACTGTTTTGAAATTTGATGTAGTCCCACTGTAGAGTAGATACCTCTTATTTTAATTTGGAGCCGAGTGCTTTAGCCAACAAGTGATAGACTTTCAAAACCTCTTCTGCCAAATCCTTACGATAGTGGTTGACAGAGAGGGCAACGAATATCGATCACGAAAAGTTTTGTAAACCACATATTGTCATGAATAAAGTTTTTTCAAACAGTTTTTATAATGTTATATTTTACTTTCATTGTCGGTTGTTTCAATGAGGAAATAGCTTAAATTGTTCCGATTCTGGTCACCATAGAACATGTCCCTAACAGTTTCATAAACATTTCATTTGTATGCAAAAGATATACCTTCGTTAGATCATTTAAAAGAACAGAACAGAATTTATTCCGTATAGTCTGGCCATGAGGACAATAGTACAGATGGTTGGATAATATTTGACATATTGTGAGAGTGCGCTTCAGTTAATATTGGCTTTGGAATTTCTACGTTTAAACATTTTGTCAATACAAAGAGCTAGCTGAAATAAAGTCGTCATTTGTTGTGAGTAATAATACAAACTTGTGCAGGGTATGATATTGATAGTAATACGAGGGCAAATGCCCTAACCTTAAGTTTGTATAAGCTTGACATATAAATTGTGCATGGTATTCATCGTCTAAGTCTTCTTTGCAGAAATTGCATAGACTGTAAGCAAAGTCATGGTCACTAGACATTCTATATTTATGCATTTAAAAATCATTTGAACAACATCTAAATTTTGTAAAATATCTTCTTAAATTTACATTCTTAATCGATGATGGATATTTTTCAGGTTGTAGTTAGGATTTGTAAGTGCAATATAAATCTAGCCTTGGTGAATTAGAAATACAATCTGACCATTCTTGCATAAACAAATCTCTTTTCTTTCCTTAAATTTATAAATAAAAGCATCAAAGTCTCCGACATCTTGCATCAACCACACATGACCAAAACCATAACTAAACAATGTATATCTTACAAATGAAACCAAATTTTTATAACCTAATTCATCATATTTACAACGCATGAAATAGCAATGCTTTTGGATATTTACCCAGAGGCATTCTTAATAACTTAATCCAATACTTAATTATTCTCACAACACCATGTTCATACATTCTCGTTCTTCCAAGTTCACCTAATACAGCAGCAATTGAAGATTTGTATCCCATTTTCAAAGAATATCTACAATATTTAGTTTGTATAATTCCAATGCTTTTCCTTACTTCTGTACACCATATTTCCGCACCATATAGCAAAATGGGTAACATTTTACAATCAAAGATTTTAAATTATGTATCAACGTTTACGTCTGGATATTTGACCATCATTCTTGTAATTGGCACTAGAGCCTTATTTGCCTGTTTAGCTAAAGTATTACATGCTTGAGTAAACATATTTCTACACGAAATTAGAATGCCAAGATATTTATAGTATGACACCTCTTCAAACTGTTCACCATGAATAAACCATTTTTTAATTGCTATGGAGACCCTCCATTTGAAAAAAGAATTATGAGAGGTTATTAACAGAATATCCCACTGCCAATTATATGATAAATTGTTGAATTAACATTAGATAAGGTTGAGAATTAATCGTGGTTTTTCAATACATCTTACACTGGTGAGTCGTCTGATAGCCCAGGTAGAGTTCGATTATAACCAGCCTACTCATATTTTAGCATTTCCTTTTACCCTGTTCCCCATTGTTGGAAAGTGTGTCGTCTGCTACATATGTCTGTATATTGACAATATCTTCAACTTTCTAAGAAATACTTAATCTTTACATGGGAACTGCCATCTTAATGTATTATTCTGTATTGTATATTGACAGCTTGTGATTAATTGTTACCAGATGGCCCCAGCTTGGGTAGCAGACGACACACTAAGGGTATAAGGGTTAGTTTGAAGGAGAGCGCCATATTGGTTTCTCTGAAAAAAATGGAGTATTTGGAGACAATTGATGCACAGCAGCAATCTTTACTTGTGTTTATTGTACCGAAGAAGAAATCAACAAACAAGAGTCGGCCTGGATGTTCCATCCTGGATGTTAGTAGTGAGTCGCGGTTGTCAAATCAAAACGATTAACACTAGGTAACCCTGAACTGCACACATGTGGCGTATGGACTTCGTCTGTTGTTTGCTAACAGATCAATAATCATGGATTACAAATCAGCAATAGTTATCAATCTGGTGCACACCGTGAAAGGGTGGTAACAGCTGTACTGAAAGTTTAGAGTATATCCTGTTGGACACTCTTGGTGTAATAAATCAGGTCTGACTGACATGTAAACTGATATGACCGAAAGTTAGATGCATAGATGCCAGGAAAGAACTGTATAGTTAATGGAACAGACGAAGCATGGTGCAAAACGAAAGCAAAGAAGTAATTTCGCCAGCATTTCCTGCATCTTTATATGACAAAGACGTCAAGAAAGTGCCAGTCACGATCGTGTCTCAGCAAATGAAGATGTGACGATTTCACCATCACCTGGTCTCCAGCATCTAACTGAGCCAGTCCACCAGCATCACTCGGGTACTCCAGGTGAGCTCCGTCATTGATGCCCTCTTTACACTCAGTCACGGCATTCTCAAACAACACGAGCTGTGTCTGGCTGGAGGCGCTATAGCGGACAACCTGGTGCTGGAATGTTTGGAGTGGCTTGTCGTCCTTCTTGTTGTCCTCGACGTAGAACTTGACATGACTTGTGATGTAGTACACTCCTGCTGCCGGTACTGTGATGGAGCCGTTCTCGTAACTCATCCCGTTGTACAGGAGCTTTCTGTCAGAACCATCAGGGTTGGCCCAGTTTCGTGTGACGCTCAGATTGCCTCTCTCCCCTTCAAATAATACACATTTTATCATGTCAGGTATACAGATACAATGGTTGTGTGTTGGCTTTGATAATCCTACCAACCATGATTGATCATTATCAAAATAAGTCTTAGTCTTGTGTGGTGATATAAAAATATATTGTAGATGAAACCTTAAAGTTACTTTTAATAGATATCTTCTTTATAGTTCATACAAATCCATGTACCTTGAGTGCCTTCGTCAAAGTCAAGTCCAGAGAAGTGTGCCACTGGTTTCAGCAGATTGAGAAACTGTAAGTCAGGGGGATCATCCTGCTTTCTGTCCTCATCTGCAGATGAACTGTTGATATTAACGTCCTTCTTTAGGGTATTCTGTAGCCATATATCAAAGATGCATATTCATAATGTCTTTTCTCTCAACATTCCTAGGGGGCACGTGTGGCCCGGTCGTCGAAGGAATCGCCATTCGCTGTGCAGAGTTGCGACCCCCGGGGCACTCACGGAACCTATGATTGGTTCGCCCCGATTATATTTCTAAGTTTGTCAGCACCATACTCGTGCTCGTGGGTTTCACTGAAGTGGTAAACGTCTGAGACATGCATCACTTGGGGCTTTCCTCCCACATCAAGCTGACACGCCGCGATATAACTGGAATACTGTAAAAAGCGGCGTTAAACCGGAACTCACTCACTCAATCACTTTCCTCCCAGATAAAGCTTACACGCCCTGATATAACTGGAGCACTGTTCAAATTGGCGTTAATCCCAACTCACTCACTCAACGTCCCTAGAGTAATTCTTGCAAATATGTGGTATGTGCATATGTATTACATAATAACTAAATCCCATTTACCAATAAATCGAAATGATGTCCTAACAAAGTTTCATGGCGAAATAATGAAAATATATGGATATATGTATTTGAAACATACCCTACCCTTAAATTGAACTGGGTGATGCAAACATGTATACCAGATATAACAATTCCTGAAAAGTAAATGTCACCAGGTCACTTTTCTGATATGTATACAAGGTTTCAAGAAGAAATGGTTGATGCTTTGGAAACAAACCCTTAAGCCCATTTGAAGTCCATCTTGTTGCATTGGAAACGCAAACAAATGTATGTTTTTTTAGTTCCTGAACAGGAAAATATATCATTTACGAGCAAGGCGTTACAGGAAAGCATATTGAAAGTTTATGAGTTCTCCAGAAACGAAAGGCGACGGACGGACCGGCGAAACCCCGTTTCTATATTCCATACTAAACTCCGTTTAAGTTAGGGATAATAATAGTATATTTCCGCTTATGCAAAATCACCTGTATACATTATAGCAATGTTGTTCAGTTTCCGTTCTTGATAACTGGGCTGTTCAGAAAATATGCTAGCAAAGATTGCTAATATATCAAGAGAAATCATGCTTTTACCTTCAGGCAGGACAAGTCTGTAGGGGGTGTCTGATTTGGTGTCATACATCATGACAAAAAAGAAAAACAGCCATGTTATTAATTAAGGTTTGTTGTTGAAATGCATAATTTATTATTTATTACAAAATCGATAACGAGACGGACCTCGGTGTAGACGTTTTGTTCATGTGTTTTTCAGTTGTGATTAACGTTAGTTTTATTCACAACTCCCTTCTTCCTTTGATATATATTAACACAACAGTACACGTTTGAATATACAAACATGGTCATTAATTAAAGGAAAGCGATTTTCTATATTGTTAAAGGGGGCACGGGTGGCCCAGTCGTCTAAGGCGCAGCGATCCGCTGTGCTGGGTTGCGTCCCTTGGGCACGCAAGAAACCTATGATTGTGGGTTCGAATCACGGTTCGCCCCGATTATGTTTCTAGGTTTGTCAGCACCATACCTGTGCTCGTGGGTTTCACCGAAGTGGTAAACGTCAGATTCCTGCATCACTTCGGGCTTTCCTCCCACATTAAGCTGACACGCCGCGATATAACTGGAATACTGTTAAAAGCGGCGTTAAACCCAACTCACCCACCCACCCTATATTGTTTAAAGATATTCTGTTCATTTATTTTTACGTCATCTGTTCTAAGGCAAGGCCCGCCGAGGGTTGGTACTTACCTCAGCAAGCATTTGTCCCAGTCTTGTATCATTCTGTCTGATGTGCGACTGAGGTAAGGTGATGTAATTGTTGCTCATGAAGATGGAAACAAATGAAATCACACAGGCAAGGATGTTGATGAAAGCAAGAATACAACTAAAACCTGTTGTTAACTTTCCGCCATTTTGGTTGTCCATGTTAAAATCTAAAAGTCGATAGATGCAACAGATGTCACCCAGGGGCTTGTTATTTACGGACAGCTGGTTCGTGATTTATGCTGATCACTGTCAATTCTTGTGTGAGTGAGTGAGTTAGTTGGGTTTAACGCCGCTTTTAACCGTATTCCAGTTATATCTCGGCGTGTCAGCTTAATGTGGGAGGAAAGCCCGAAGTGGTGCATGTCTCAGACGTTTACCACTTCGGTGAAACCCCCGAGCACGAGTATGGTGCTGACAAACCTAGAAACATAATCGGGGCGAACCGGGATTCGTCAATTCGTGTGTGGAGAAGGATGGGGACGCTGATTATGTATGTGAATTCTAGTCAAGAAGTTTAACCAAAGTTTCAGGTCTACCTATGATCTGGTATCGTTAAATAAAAGTCAAATGGCCAATTCCCTTCCACTGATTTACTCTCGTGTCCTAATTTCTTTCTGCAATTGGCTCAAAAGTGAAACATGCTCCGTTTTTTGTCTGGCCTTACCACCATGATGACACGCTCGGCATTCCAGGACCAGGGACTCTTTGCCTTCTTTGGTTGTGGTGGTGTCAAATGCTGCCATTGTTTTTATTGTTGTTTTCACAGTGGTCAGCACGGGTTTCATCAAAAGACAGACATCGTTGCAGGAACCTTTCTAGTACAGCTTCAATCACAGCTAGAATCTCACGACGCACGATGTTGTGTCTGGAGCGTTTTTCATCAGACCTTCTCCATTGCCAACGTTACTGTGATAATGGAATGTACCCTATCCTGGGAAATGCCGACTGAACTGACAATATGACCCTCAGTCATTCGCTGTTTCAGTCAAAACCGTGTATACAAATCATGTTTCGATTCTTAGAGTTTTGTGTTGGCCGTAAATTCAATAAAGCATTACACAAGTCAGGAATTACAAAACAAAAAATGAATAATTCAGGGAAACTTGAACTATAATGAACTGTTATGCTTCACTTCATTTATGAGGCACACAGATAATCGAATAGTGTTTTGCAGACAACCAACGCCATGTATCCTTGAGGCAGATGGTCTGATGAACATTCAGCACTTGAGTTATATGATGTGCTTGACGTTGTCAAACATTTAAATAACCCATTCTGGTGTCAAACTGTTCAGGGCGCTCTCCGGTCAGAGAGATCAAGCTACGAATGAGTTTTGTCAAACCTCCTGTAAGCGTGTCGGTGCTGAAATTGATATGCATGTGACAAGGAGAACACAACTTGTAAACAGACCATCTGACTGGTTCATGGTGGACATGGCCTTTTAAAAATAATCAATAGACCAAAGCGAAGTCACCCGTCGCATTTCTCCCGATATCATTTGAGAGCATTAAAATGAATGGCGTTGTGTAAACTTGAATTGATTTCGCATAAGGAGACGGGTATCAGCTGTGGCAACAACATCCCCCATATACACGACAGATAAACCGAATGGTCAACTTCTCTATTCCTAGTTTTTAAATATGCAGCACAAATACAAACCCAATAAGTGGCTGCCACAGTTTGAAACATCTTGTCCAAGATGTAACAATTATTAAAATAGTTCTGATGGATTTGTCCTTTGACGGGCGTGCCAGCAACTAAATTTAAGATTTATATTGCCTCTTAACTTATAACCCTGAAAGGACGATTGTGTTATAAACAAGCTGTGTGACCCCATTTACAGGTCATCCTGACCTCAAAGCGTGTACTTCCCAGTTTGCTGTTTCGCACAGGACCTGGTATTGTGACAGGTGGACAAGTAACAACAGCGTTGCGCTAAGTGATGATATTCCACACGACCCAATTGCCATCATAAATTTCAGAAATAAACTATTCAAAGGCCACGTATTTCTCCACTGCTTCGAGCTAATTTGCACATGTCTCAAATCAAAGCAGTCATCCCATATATCCGTGAACTGAGCCCACAGGGGATCGTGTTTGAAATGAAGCTTATGTCAGGGGGACGATGCTCCATGTTCTGGTGTACAAGTTCAGTCGATGTCTGGATGTTGAAATACGCCTCTGTTAGATTGATTCGCATTCATACGCATCAACTACCACACACACACACACACACACACACACACACACACACACACACACACACACACACGCAGGCACGCACGCACGCACGCACGCACACACACACACACACACACACACACACTTTCAAGCTTTCAAAAGGTTTTTCGGTAGACATGTGGAGGACATTTACAAATTGAACACATCACTGACATAAATTGTGTCCCATGTAGTTCCCTATTTTGACTTGTAACCTATGTTCCCTTGTTTTTTGTAGGTGAGCAGTTGACTTGCCTTTGCATGTGTTTGTGATAGGTGCCACCGATGGGGCAGGATACACTCACCGTTTCGCGAAAACCAATATCATTACTATTTGATAGTGATTCATAAACACATACTCATGATATAGTCGGAATCGTACAATCGACTATGCTAAATAAAGAGATTTCAATTGGATATGGAAAGGGTTTTGTCGCTTTCTTTTTTGCAAGTACCTATCATATCAGAAAATGAAACTGATGGTGGTTCCTGAAATTTGAATTATCATAATACTGATGTTTTAAACATTTGCTCCCCACCTTGTACAATCTGTTCACACTGCGTATAGTATGCTGTTTATAGTAATACAGATACTATAGTGTTGTTGGTGTGGAATCGTGTTTGTATAATATGATCACGAAACCCGTGGTGGTTCCTGAAATTTGAAATATTTGGGAAAATTGATTGTTCATGAGTTATGAAATTGCTTGAACGAGATTTGATTTTATATTTAACTTCCAAAGATACATTTTTTTATTCTGGATTTATGTTAATACTCCATATATATCTATCCATATTGACTATTGTATAACATACAAACTAACATACATAGAAATGTACAGAAACCAAATTGTAAATACAACTGGAACGATTTATTGTTGCAGCTTCATTCGGATGTGATTCATTTTTAGTTTTCGAAAGGTTATTAATGGAGTTATTTGGCTCAAGTCGCAAATATAGATGTATACAAATATAAGATTAAACACATACTGTGTAGCAGGAATCATGGTTGTGTCTTGGTTACACCTGTCATGACCACATCAATGTCAGTTCCAGAGATGTTGCAAATGGCTTCAAGCAGGTGGATGTTTCTACTCGCCTTCCTCACAGAGGGTATATTTGCATGAAAGTACTACTTGAGAGTGTTTAATGGACAACATAATTTCGTTATGTAACATTGTGTCATGCTAGCATGGGTGGAGTACATTAAATTATTCACAAGTACGGGAAGGATTCAGAGTAACCTAGAAATGTTCTTCAGAGAAAAGGAATGACATTTTGAAATACAAGATATTCAGATAGCGCCAGCAAGGTGGTTGTCCAAAATGATTACATTTTATCATCGTTAGTGAATACCTCTTGCTGCTGATATATACAAACCATTCCTACGTATTTGATATATTGTGGTTTAGTTTTGTCACATGATTAACGTATGAGCATCACCGATAGAAACAATTCTCCCTACATTGTAAATAGTGTTCCTATCTTTAGGCAATATGTGTCCTGAAGTACACAGAATACTTGTACATGGGTAGAACTTACATTGGATATTATTATGGCGTTGCCTTTAAATTTTATAACAAGGGCAAAAAGACAAGAAATGTTATTCGCCGAAGGGTACATATTGGTTGCAAGATATACGTACGTGTAGTGAGTGAGTGAGTGAGTGTGTATGGTTTTACGCCGCTTCTAGCAATATTCCAGCAATATCACGGCGGGGGACACCAGAAATGGGCTTCACACATTGTACCCATGTCGGGAATCGAACCCGGGTCTTCGGCGTGACAAGCGAACGATTTAATCACTAGGCTACCCGACCGCCCCCGTACGTGTAGTAGGAGATCGATGGTGTTTGCCTTTATATTATACCATATCATGGCATCTTCACCGAAACACGTGTCATGTTCTTATGTTGTCCTCATATAAGTGCGACGTTAAACCCCATTTCACCTCCCAGATGTTTTAGCTGATTTTTAACCATGCTGTTACCATTATAGCATATAGAAATCAACCTGTTAACCAAAGGAGTTAATGTTTATTGCACCGAAGAGAAAATCACAAACGTGAGTCGGCCAGCATGTTCCATCGTGGATGATATTTGGAAGTCGCGGTCATCCGGGCGAACCGGGATTCGAACCCAGAGTCATAGGTTTCCGGCGTGTCCAAGGGACGCAACTCTGCACAGCGAATCGTGACGCCTTAGACGACTGGGCCACCCGCGCCCCCTGACGTACTACACTAAGTACACGTGGAGGGTTGTGTATGTGGGGCTACCGATGTGTTTGTACTCACGATAAATACCTGTCATGCTTTGATACTTCCGTGTTGTGGCTTGTGACCTACATGCAATTTAAAACTTGAATTTGAACGAGCCTAACGGTCAGAATGAGTCAACTGAAATATCGCCTTTCATATAACGCCCTCTCTAGCAATACACTTCATTTTAACTGGGACAATGCCTGTTATAATAATCAGATGTTATCCAGTCACTATTTACTTCACTCCCGTCGTCGACCATGAAGTTCGCCTCGTCGAGGGCGACACCAACCTAGAGTGAGGTGGAACAGATACAACAGCTACCGAATGCAATGTAAGGGAGACAACTCTTGCATCCTCACAGTTGATTCGCGGTTTGAAATGCAGTTTTAGAAGTTTTTTTGTGTCGCGTGTTGTGATGTAGCTTGTCACACGTGGGTGGGTCGGGTGTTGCGAAAAGTGCATGGAAATATGACCTACACCATTTGGATGGCTTCGTATTTGAATGTTGTTTTATTTGTCCGTGACTCGCGCAAATTGAGGCTACAAGAGGGAATTTTGTTTTGTTTATGTTTGTTGGAGACTGCTGAGGTTCGAATGATGCTTATGGCATTTAGTTCAGAGTGACTATGTTAAGTGTTGATTAAAGTTTGAAATCAAACACATTGGTAAGAATGGCAATGAATGTTTTTCGAGTGTGCTCATTTTACCACGATTTCAAAGAGCGTCATAAGACTCTTGCTGAGTTGTTTGATCAAGGTTACCATATTTAAGTCCTCAGTAAAGCTTTCAAAAAGATTTTTGGTTGCCGTGTGGAGGGCAATTGATGTCCGATGCAATTCCCTCTTTTGACTTGTATCATATGTTCCCGTGTTTTTTTCAGGTTATCAATTGACCTGCTTTTGCATGTGTTTGTGACGGGTGCCACCGATGGTGAAGGGGTACGCTCACCTTTTCGCGAATATCTGGTATCATCACTATTTAATAGTGATTCATAAACGCATGCTCACGATAGAGTCAGAGTCGTTTCATCAACTTTGGGCATGACTATCTTAAGAATATGGAAAATATTGCATCGCTTTTGCTCATATTATCCCCTGGGAATGAGTTTACTTTTGACTTGGAGATGGTTATGAAATGTAGCGAGAGTGAGTGGGTTGGGTTTAACGCCGCTTTTAACAGTATTCTAGTTATATCACAGCGTGTCAGCTTAATGTGGGAGGAAAGCCCGAAGTGATGCATGTCTCAGACGTTTACCACTTCGGTGAAACCCACGAGCTGACATACCTAGAAACATAATCGGGGTGAACCGGGATTCGAACCCACAATCATGGGTTTCTGGCTTGCCAAAATTGACGCAACTCTCTGCACACCGAATCGCGACGCCTGAGACGACTGGGCCTCCCGTGCCTCCTATGAAAGTTAGAAAATAACGAGTAAATGACATGAGCCATTATGTTAAATTAACACTTATTCTCTGAAAATATATAATTTTGATGGAAACAAATTACTCCATTTAAATTGAAAAGGAGCCCCAGTGAGATGGGAGATCCAGAACCTGAGGGAAATCAGCTTGCTTCTTTGAGGGCTACAGCAATACAGGAAGGGCTGGGGGGGGGGAGGAGGAAAATAATATGGTTCAGGGACTGTGAGACAGACTACATTAATGTTAACTGTTTGTTTAAAAAGGGGTACCGTCGTCATATAGCCTCATTTTTGAGTGACTACTACAACGTGATGTGACACATTGATTGATTTTTTGCTGAGTTCGTTTGGCGAAATGTTTTCAAACAATAGACAATCAAAGACGCACTGAAGTGTGTGAGTGTACATCTTTATTCCCTGAGTTGCTGATCACACAATGACCTGAGGTAGAATCTAATCATTCCAGGCCGAAAGCATAATAAATCGTGGAAATATTACATTTTGCACGTCGGCACTTTGGCACTCGGTATTTTACACCACGCAATTTGTGTATTAAACGAGGTGAATATTAGTGAGTAAGTGAGTGAGTTGGGTTTAACGCCGCTTTTAACAGTATTCCAGTTATATCACGGCGTGTCAGCTTAATGTGGGAGGAAAGCCCGAAGTGATGTTAATCACTTCGGTGAAACCCACGAGCACGGGTATGGTGCTGACAAACCTAGAAACATAATCGGGACGAACTGGGATTCGAACCCACAATCATAGGTTTCTGGCGTCCCCAAGGGACGCAACTCTGCACAGCGAATCGCGGCGCCTCAGACGACTGGGCCACCCGTGCCCCCCAGGTGAATATTAACATAGCGCCAGTCCCTTACTTTCACCAACACCTGATCTCGGGCTTCTAAATAAGCCAGTCCGCCGGCATCAGTCACGGCATTCTCAAACAACACGACCTGTGTCTGGCTGGAAGCGCTATAGCGGACAACTTGGTAATGGAATGTTTGGAGTGGCTTTTTGTCCCTCTTGTTGTCCTCGACGTAGAACTTGACATGACTTGTGATGTGGTACACTCCTGCTGCCGGTACTCTGATGGATCCGTTCTCGTAACTCATTCCACTGTACAGGAGCTTTTTTTTGGTTCTTTTGGCAACCACTGTATTAAACCACGCATGTTTGGGACAGTGCATCAAACAAGGTGAATATCAAAATAGTGCCAGTCCCGGTCATGTTTCAAGGGATGAATATTGGACAGTTTCACCATCACCTGATCTCCAGCATCTAACTGAGCCAGTCCACCAGCATCACTCGGGTACTCCAGGTGAGCTCCGTCGTTGATACCCTCTTTACACTCAGTCACGGCATTCTCAAACAACACGACCTGTCTCCGCCCTGAGGAGCTGTAGCTGACAACCTGGTGCTGGAATGTTTGGAATGGCTTGTCGTCCTTCCTGTTGTCCTCGACGTAGAACTTGACATGACTTGTGATGTGGTACACTCCTGCTGCTGGTACTGTGATGGAGCCGTTCTCGTAACTCATTCCGTTGTACAGGAGCTTTCTGTCAGAACCATCAGGGTTGGCCCAGTTTCGCACAGCTGTGAGGAGGCCGTCTCGCCCTGAAATATATGGACGTCAATGTAGAAGTGTTCAGTGAGAGAGTTAAGACATGGCGGTTTTACTGAAATATATTTGGGGAGTTTCGATGAGAGAAATGACAATATTGAGTCAGTATATTACAGTTATGAAAGAAATGATACATATGTTATTATTATACATGTAAAGTGTTTCGTGGGTCTGTCTGTTACTAGTTTTATTTAAAAGCAGCGTTGCAGCTTAAGTTGTAATATTTATGTTGAAAGTCAGCCATGTATGAACACAAACCTGATGTTCTCATGTCGAAATCTAGCCCTGAGAAGTGTGACACTGGCTTCAGTAGATTGAGGAACTGTAGATCAGGTGAAGCATCAGCGTCACTCTCTGTATAGACCAACAGAAATCCATATTGTTTTCATATGTATTGCATCATAGTGTTTGACAATAAATTAATTGTACACAACGGACAATGCTATGCTATGCTATGCTATGCTATGCTATGCTATGCTATGCTATGCTATGCTATGCTATGCTATGCTATGCTATGCTATTCTTTATACTCGAATACCCGTAGTATATCTATCTTTATATACACACGTGTGTTTAGATAGATAGATAGATAGATAGACAGATAGATAGATAGATAGATAGATAGATAGATAGATAGATAGATAGATAGATAGATAGATAGATAGAGCGAGGGAGAGAGAAATAAATATACTAAATATAGATATACTACGACTATTATACTACCATGATATGCTATGCCATGCTATTGCAAAAACTCGGATTATGCCATGACATGTACCTATGCTACATGCTATGCTATGCTATTCTTTACCTCGAAAACTCTAAATCTGTCTGTCTGTCTGTCTGTCTGTATATATATATATATATATTTCGAGATCTCGAGAGAGAGAGATACAACGAGTATTATACTACAATGCTATGCTATTCTATGCTATGCTATGCTATGCTATGCTATGCTATGCTATGCTATGCTATGTTATGCTATGCTATGCTATGCTATGCTATGCTATGCTATTGCAAAAGCCCGGATTATGCCATGACATGTACCTTGCAACTGCTCCTGATTCATCAATTCCACCTCCTTGTAAGCCTGTGGACAATAAATGTAACAAGTGTTAAGTGCAAAGTGTAACAACTACAGTTGTCAACAAATCATGTAAAATAATGCTGCAGAGACTTTAAACACCGCACACATCAGTCAGACATTGTTTTGTATTACTCTTTGTCTTTTGATACTCGAACTTCATTAATATGTGTTGTGTATGTTTATCCTACAGAATATATGGGTTAGTATACTCATTCAAATTATTTATATTCATTCAAATTTAGATCAATGAAACAATAAAGCAAGCAAGCATCTTGTAGAACATGTAATCAGGACGACACGCAAACATAGATAATATATACTTGCATGACAACAAGAACGTATTAGCGTTTAAAGGATCTTAAATACATTTTGAATTACCCTTTCACACATATTTCTCTGACTCGTTATTTCAAACTGTATGCGTTTTATAAAAGCAACTGATTTCATCCCCGTATATCAATAAAATGTTCAATGAAAGGTCAAGACCTGACACGTGATTTCGTCATATTAACCTACCTTATCCAAGGCTTCATTCAACGCCGTGTGATCTTGTTGTGTGCGCGATGATGTTGCACTGTTTACGATGGCAACGACGGCAATAATACCAAGCACAAAAGTGTTGAAGAGAATTATCCCACTGATGACGACTTTGGCAGTTCTCCTTTCATCTTTGCGACACAGAGCAAGGCAGTCCCCTGACAGAATGTCTTTAGTGCTCATGTTTAAATTTCTCGCTTGATACCCAAATAAACACAAAGAATAGCATATGACAATATCCGATGGAGAAGATACAGAGAATGTCGAACTTGAAGACATTGCGAATTTAAATTATCCGCTCTTGTGTCCTGCAACCATCTGATTGGTTAATGTTGCGATTGTGTATAGGAGCCAGGGTATACGACTGGCTCGCTGATGATGATAAGTCAATGGGTGTACAGTAATTCAAACCTTATAATAGGCAAGTCGAGATAAGCGGACAGTTATAGCGACAACTTGTTCTTTTTATTTAAGTAATCCAGAAATTAAGTTTTAAACTAATAAGTTTAACCTTAAAACCTTGTGCAAGTCAAGTATACGATCAGAAACTAGGTTTGTCCGCTACACTCGTGGCCTTTTGAAAAATGCTATAAATATCCTGGTGAGACGAGCTTCGGTCCGACCCCGGAAATAACCATAACATAACGTGCACAGGAACATGTAACTAAAATTTTGCAGTGACAAAATCGCATAAATTGTTCGTTACATGGTCGTGTGAAAGGAGTTGTTAATGTAGTCATAATACCTCCCACATTATTAGCGAGTCACAGTTTGTGACATATATGCAATATGACATCGCATACTGTGTACCATCTACAACCAAGACCCAGACCCTTTATTTCACATTGGTAAATAACATGCTAGGGTATGTCACATGCTTAATTGTTAAGCATCCACTGTCAAGCCACATCTCAAATGCGCAGTCAGTCTTTACTGTCTCTACATATTCTTGCAGTAACCTGTCGTGACCTGGCTTTTCCCTCTGTCCCTTTGAAATTTGCAAATCACGTGACAGGCGTATTTATCTTGTTTGTAAACAAACGCACGTGTGCTCAAATCTGAACAGGTTTAGTATAATAACGCATATGCTTATCAGTTCTATGATAACTTTTATTGCAATAAATCGTATATAATATATACATACGTATGTGTAGTATTGAAATAACACGACAGATAGATATATTATGTTCTTGCGGGTTCATCACATGGATTACCAATTCAGTGTCACAATATCAGTAAAAAATAGACTTAGTGACCATTTCTTAATCATATCCATCATCATAAAAAGTATTACACATGTATTCAACCATTCGATCTGAATTTGCATTCTGGGGAACTTTTCTTAACTTTCGTCAATATTACCAATGTACACAAATAGGATAAACGTATTATCGATTTGACTCAGCTGACGTTAAAGCACATGATATCAGTCTGTACAGCTGCTTTATCCGCCAAGGCACCTAGCGGTAGAGTTGGACATGCTTACCCTTTCGCGAACAGGGTGTCATTACTGATTTTCATATATCCGTTCATATCATTTTCATAATTTTTTGTCTTTTACGCTTATGGAATCTGTTTCGGCAAATATTCGAGACTATTATATAATATGAACAATGCAATTTAGAAAGTGGTCAAATGTAATGTTATATTTGGGATAACACTTTCTGTGTAAAGTACATTCTCGTACAGAGTGGAAGTCATGTGAAACAGCACAAGTTACCCTCAGCTCAAACGAACAGCTGTTTTCTGTCAATTTTGAATTTGTTTGAACTTTTTTCCAATGTCATATTGTGACATGTCGGTAAGATAAATTCGTTGTAGCAGGATCACTCGGGGTACATGGGGTTTTACGTTTCCCTCGTTAGGTTTTATACCATTCGCCTCCGGGTCCGGCTCGTGGTGTAAAACCTAACGCTGGACGCATAAAACCCACTGTACCCTGAGTGATCCTCCTACAACTTATAATGTACAATGATACAGATCCTTGAACACTTTTATAGGGCGATTCAGGAAGCACGTGCCTGAGAAAACGACCCAACACTGGAGGTGCCCACGTGTGTCATTCCGGCAACACGTGCACCCTATACCACAAACCACATACGCTTCCAATAAATTAATAAATTAATAAATTTATTCACGAACATACCAGAACATAGAATCAAACATGGACATGTGAAGTAGTAAGGGAAGTTATTTGAGTCCGGGGAGTCATTTGGGCCTTCGACGGTAGAATGCTCTGAGCCTTGGCTCACAACACTCTTAAGTAATTTTTTAGTGTGACTGGAGCCGGGAATTGAGTTGGGCCTCCCACACCGGCAATCCTAGTAAGCTCCTCAATGCACATTGCTGTCGCCTTCGGGGTACCTCTATTCGGTTACATTAAAACAACTGCGCCCGTGTTCACAAACACAAGTGTGGTTATTTATCTCATGAGTAACTAATATACCAGTTTAATTATTTTCATGTATTTAGAATATTAAATGAATTGATCAGTTAACAGCTATTTTGTCTAAAGTCTAGTTGGGAATGTCAATTCACCGAAGTGAAACGTATGGATCGGGAATAATGATGCACTAGGTTATGTATTTTCATTTTTGATTTCCACACATCAAACAAAAATATCTTTTATTAGGTATGACGGATTAATATTTCCTTAAGGGAGAGTTTTATGATCGATTACTTTTATACTTTCAGTTGAAAGCCTTATTGCAAGAAAAAATGGTTTCTGTCGAAAACATGAACATATACCGACCGACAGGTTCTTGTAATACAACCTGTAAATAAAACTAGAACAGTTGTGGTCAGTCTTAGCGTAGACAACATTAAGTATGGAAAGCTTGACGAAAGCAGCTCAAAAACCACATCACAACACTGAAACCTTTGTAATAAAGCATAAATGACACACATTGATATTTGACATTTGCAACCAATATTGTAATACTACTAGGGTACAGGAACAGCCTCTATTTGAAATGGACAAAATAGTTGTGACACAGCGCGGTTTAAAAAACCACAACACATACTACCTCATGTCATACATATGAATGCTGCGTCACATTGGGTTTTAACTGACCCTGTGTGTGTGCGTGCGTGCATGCGTGCATACGCCGTGCAACTGTTGTGCAGAATGCAGTTGAAGAACGTCCGTGTAAGTATCCTTCATACACGAAGAATAAAAACCTGAGAGCGGCTTCTACTGCTTAGGGAAGGTCTCCTGTGGGATTAAGTGTGGGGAAGACATTATGACACAGTCGGGTCGGGTAATTGTGGTTAAAATGTGAAAAATGAAGGCACATTACTGCTTACCATGGCCATATCCTATTTTGTAATCCGTAAATTTAATAATTCATACGAGTTCTCTTGGAACCGTTCGAAGCACCAAGCTGCCGCGCTCACGAGATATCTGATAGTGGTGGCACTCAAACTTCTCTTTATACAATATGTATATCAACATAGTGCCAGTCGCGATCATGCTTCAGTGTCTGTAAGTGGGACACCCTCACTATGACATTATCTCCAGCATCTAACTGAGCCAGTCCACCAGCATCACTCGGGTACTCCAGGTGAGCTCCGTCGTTGATGCCCTCTTTACACTCAGTCACAGCATTCTCAAACAACACGACCTGTGTCTGGCTGGAGGCGCTATAGCGGACAACCTGGTGCTGGAATGTTTGGAGTGACTTGTCATCCTTCCTGTTGTCCTCGACGTAGAACTTGACATGACTTGTGATGTGGTACACTCCTGCTGCCGGTACCGTGATGGATCGCACGGCTGTGAGGAGACCGTCTTGTCCTTAAATATATGGACGTCAATGTAGAAGTGTTCAGATAGAGAGTTTAGACATGACGGCTGAAATTAATTATATTTCGGGGTAATGGTAAGTTTCGAAAAGAGAAATGATACTATTGAGTCAGTATATTACATTTATGTAAGGAATGATTAATTTGATTTTAACATATTTATTCACAACAAGTGAACGGGATTGGGGGACAAGTTCTTCTAACTTAGATTGCCTACTCCCTGGTATTTACAAAATTTCACAATTTCAAATTCAATATATATATATGCATATAACACTGTAGAAGAGACATAAAATGTTCTTCACACATGTTCTTTTCAGTTGTACATATATGAATATAGTTTCATTATCTTTAACAACATGATCTGCATTGCCGTATAACAGTAGATGTACATCAACAGGTATGTTATAAACAATATATTTTTATAATTTCACGCTGATGACTAAACAATGTACATTCCATGAGATAATGATATGCATTTTCGCATGTATTTGAACATGTACAGTTCGGGTGATCTTTTATACAAGTTCTATATGAATCATAATTCAAATGACTGCACATGTATCTCAGTTTTGTGTGTAAGATATTATATTTTCTTTGTCCAAGTACACAGGTGACGTGGGGTGGTGCTTTTGTAAAGAATTCTTAAACCGAAATCGTCGAATTTTGATCTGATACGGAATCAAGAGATGATAATATGTTATTATTATACATGTATAGTGTTTCGTGTCTTTTCGTTACTAGTTTTATGTAAGAGTAGTGTTGCATCTTAAGTTGTAATAATAATGTTGAAAGTTAGCCATGTATGAACACAAACCTGATGTTCTTATGTCGAAATCTAGCCCTGAGAAGTGTGACACTGGCTTCAGTCGACTGAGGAACTGTAGATCAGGTGAAGCATCAGCGTCACTCTCTGTAGAGACCAACAGAAATCCATATTGTTATCAAAGTGTTCCATCATAGAGTTTGAAAATAAATTATTTTGATTATCTGTTTTGACTGTATGGTACACAACGGACAATGCTATGCTATGCTATGCTATGCTATGCTATGCTATGCTATGCTATGCTATGCTATGCTATGCTATGCTATGCTATGCTATGCTATGCTATTGCAAAAGCCCGGATTAGGCCATGACATGTACCTTGCGACTGCTCCTGATTCATCAATTCCACCTACTTGTAAGCCTGTGGACAATAAATGTAACAAGTTTTAAGTGCAAAGTGTAACACAGTAAGTACATTTGTCAACAAATCATGTAAAATAATGTGGCAGAGACTTTAAACACCGCATCAGTCAGACATTGTTTTGTATTACTCTTTGTCTTTTGATACTCGAACATCATTAACATGTGTTGTGTATGTTTATTCCGCAGAATATATGGATTGGTATACTCATTCAAATTATTTATGTTCATTCAAATTTGGAACAATGAAACAATAAAGCAAGCAAGCATCTTGTAGAATATGTAATATGGACGAAACGCAAACATAAATAGTATATACTTGCATGACAACAACTCATCCGAGTTTAAAGGATCTTAAATACATTTTGAATTACCCTTTCACACATATTTCTCTGACTCGTTATTTCAAACTGTTTACGTTATATAAAAGCAACTGATTTCATCCCCGTATATCAATAAAATGTTCAATGAAAGGTCATGACCTGACTCGTGATTTCTTCATATTTACCTTATCCAAGGCTACATTCAACGCTGTAGGATCCTGCTGTGTGCGCGATGATATTGCACTGTCTACGATGGCAAAGACGGCAATAAAACCAACCACAAACGTGTTGAAGAGAATTATCCCACTGATGACGACTTTGGCAGTTCTCCGTTTATCTTTGCGACACACACCAAGACAGTCCTCTGACAGAATTCCTTTTGTTCTCATGTTTAAATTACTCGCTTGATACCCAAATAAACACAAAGAATAGCATATGACATTATCCGATGGAGAAGATACAGAGAATGTTGAACCAGAGACCATATACCGAAAGGGAATTAACTTATGACACTAAAGCGTTGCGTAATATGATTTATGTTATCCAGAAATTAAACTAATGAACTAATAAGAATAGACTTAGAACCTAGTGCAAGTGTAGTATACGACAAGAAACTCGTCCGCTACACTCGTGGCCTTTTGAAATGCTATAATTATCCTGGCGAGACGACGCTTCGGTCCGACCCCGGAAATAGCTAAAATATAACATGCACAGGGTCATGTTACTAATATTTTGTTGTGACAAACTTGCATCAATTGTTAGTTACATGGTCGTGTGTAAGGACTTGTTAATATCGATCATAATACCTCCTACATTATTAGCGAGTGACAGTTTGTGACATGTTTGCAACATACTGTGTGTACCATCTACAAGCAAGACCCAGACCGTTAAGTCCTACATTTTACAAATAACATTCTAGGGTATGTCACATGCTTGTTAAGCATCCACTGTCAAGCCACATCTCAAATGCGCAATCAGTCCTTATTGTCCCTCTATATTCTTGCACCCAGCTTGCCTGGGCCTCACCACGTTGGGTCATGACCTAGCTTTTCCATCTGACCCTTTGAAATTTGCAAATCACGTGACAGGCGTATTTGTAAACAAACGCACGTGTACTCAAATCTGAGCAGGTTTAGACTTATAACGCATATACTAATCGGTACTATGACCTCTGTTAAATTTTACTGCAATAATTCGTATATAAAATACACATACGTATGTGTAGAATTAAAATAACACGATAGATAGATATATTATGTTCATGCGGGTTCATCACATTGGTTAAAAATACAGTGACACAATATTGGTAACAAATAGACTTAGTGACCATTTCTTAATTATATTCATCATCATAAAACATTAATGTTCGTCAATATTGCCAATGTACACAAATAGGATATACGTATTATCGCTTTTTCTCCGCTGACGTTAAAGAACATGTATATCAGTCTGTACAGCTGCTTTATCAACCTAGGCACCTTGTGGTAGAGTTGGACATGCTTACCCTTTCGCGAACAGGGAGTCATTACTGATTTCCATATATCCGTTCATATCATTTTCATCAGTATTTGTATTTTACGCCTATGGTATCTGTTATACTGATTATACTCTCGCGGTGACGTTTTTGAATGTATTACTCGTACTCTTACCAATGTACACACATAAAAGATAAGTATTCTGTATTTACTCAGTTACCCGTAAAGGAGGTTATCCCGTACAACTGCTTTATCAATAATGTTAATGACATTCACACGGAGTTTTCATACCTCTTTACTCACTAATCTTAGTAATACTTGTAGATCAGGACATGCTTACCCTTTCGTGAACACCTGGTGTCAACACTGATTTTCACTAATTTATTCATATAATTTTAATCACTCCTTTTGTCTCTTGGGCCCAATGGAATCCGGTTCGACAGATAATCGAAACTGATTCTCCTCATGCGTTGCCGTTCTAATCTTACACATCACTGACGGCGATAATCAATAGAAACATATAAAATGTAATTTTCTGGTGCACCCGCCGTGATATTGCTGGAATATTCCTAAAAAAGCGGCGTAAAACCATACTCACTCACTTTCGAGATGTTGTCCTATGTACGATATGATTTACTCAACCAAGCATTCCTTTTTCTGAACATAATATTATTTAGTTTTGTGTTTCTTCCATGGTGCGTGGAAACGTTTGTTTTATGATAAACATAATAGGCACATTTGTTTTGTTTTTATATTGTCAAAATATATAAAAAAATATGTTCATATGTTTACAGTAATGACTGCAAGAATTAGATGTCATGTACAGAAAGTGATAGGTACATACAAAAAAGACGTCTCTAAAGAATGCGTTAAAGGTCTATAAATTTGTTAGTTTCTTTCTTGTTTAACGCTGCACTCAGCACTATTCCAGCAGTATGACGGCTGTCTGAAAGTAATCGAATCTGGACCAGACAATGTACGCAAATTGGATACGGTGACATGCGTCAGCCAAGTTGGTGAGCAGTATCTGGCGAATGTTATAATTAGACGCCGCTTATGACAAGGATTAATTGCTATAAAATCTTCATGGGGTTCACAAAACTGTACAAATTGCATATGAATGTCTCACGTAACACGTAGCAAGTGACCAAAATGACCATGAAACATGTAAATAAAGTATCTTACAGCAATAGCCGAAATGAACATATAGTATACACACAGTTCCCTTTCCAGTGAGTCCATGACACGAAAGCAGTAGAGGTGAGGTTAACGTCGCGTCTAAGATTATTGCACTTATATAGCGACGTGCATGCACGTGTATGTGTGGCTGCTTGTACTAGTCCGGACTGATGCCGATTTATAGTGCTAGCTCACTGAGATACCATGCCATATACTGACTCCGAGACGACCAGTCCTGGTTTTAGCCCCTTAATGCCGAGCGCGAGACAGGGTAACAACAAGTACAATCTTTTAACGTCTGTTGGTATGACGCAGCTGGGGATCGAACCCTGGACCTTCCGCTCTTCGGGCGGACGCTCTGCCATTAGACAACGGAGGCGGTCCCTTAAGCAGTAGAACAATAGAATACACTACAAATGAACATGCTCCTAATCTATATCCAGTTGTCGGACATATTTGGACTCCAACCCAAATCTACTCGAATCTGTACCTTACTAGTGAGTTCAAATTTAACGTCGCATCGGCATTATCTCAGCCACATAGCGATGTACCTTACTAAGAAAGTGTAATCCCAAATACTAATATGACATATTCTATTACATGTGGCAGCTTTCAAGCAGTAGTCCCGTTGAATCCCAGCCATGTATGAACACAAACCTGATGTTCTTATGTCGAAATCTAGCCCTGAGAAGTGTGACACTGGCTTCAGTAGATTGAGGAACTGTAGATCAGGTGAAGCATCAGCGTCACTCTCTGTATAGACCAACAGAAATGCATATTGTTATCAAAGTGTCCTATCATAGGGTTTGACAATAAATCAATTTCAGTATCTGTTTTGACTTTATTGTACACAAAGGACTATGCTATGCTATGCTATGCTATGCTATGCTATGCTATGCTATGCTATGCTATGCTATGCTTTATACGCGAATACTCGTAGTATAATCTTTATATACACACACACATACATATGTTCATATGTATTGAAAATCCCGAATATTTACCATTTAGACCAATTGGGGGAGGACCCGAGAGCTGTACTCAGCGTCTTAGCAATTTCATAGATATTATTCTTAAGCCTTTGTGTTAACATGTAAAAAGTTTTCTCAGAGATGACATTGATTTATTATGTAAATTACCTACTGAGGTACCGGAAGGATCCATGTTGGTTAGTTTTGATGTTGTTAGTTTGTATAGTAATAATGAAACTGAGCTCGGACTGGAAGCTATCAGATACTGGCTGAAAGAATACCGCCATGAAATATCAGATAGAATTTCGGATGAGTTTATCATTGATGCATTGAAGTTGGTTATTACCAATAACATGTTTTATTTTGATGGATCTTATTATTCACAAAAGAAAGGAGTAGCCATGGGTACTAAGGTAGCCCCTACTTATGCAACCCTTGTGTTGGGATTTTTAGAGAATATGTTTTATGATAAGGTGAGAAATACTCTTGGTGAATCTATAAAAGAACAAATTGAATATTCATGGAAAAGGTTTTTAGACGACTGCTTTATCATATTAAAAACCAGTGAAAGTCAACTTACAGCTGTTCATGAAATTTTAAATTCACTTAATGCGTCACTCAATTTCACTAAGGAAAAAAAGCGAATCCAGTTTAACCTTTCTCGATGTAAGAATCAATTTAATATCTGGGAGATTTGTACAAACTGATATCTTTTATAAAGATACTGATACGCACCAATATTTGGATTTTGGATCATGTCACCCGTATCATACAAAACGAAATATCCCTTACTGTCTCGCAAGACGTATTTGTACCATTGTTTCCGGGAATGATGTTAAAACTACTCGCCTTGCTGAACTTAAGAGTTTCCTACTGCATCAAAATTATCCCGCAAAGCTAACTGAAGATAGCATACAGAAGGCGTTAAGTATTAAGCAACTAAAACTGAGAGAAAAGTCTGAAGAAAACAATATGGGGAATAATTTAACTCTAGTATCTACCTTCAACCCTAATCATGAAAAAACATTATCCATGGTTCAACGATACCTGCCTATTTTGAATCAAAGCATTAAAATGGAGGAGATATTAAGCAAATACAAAATTATCAACAGCCAAAGACAACCCAAAAATCTTAGAAAGATTTTGACAAGTTCTAAATTTGATTCTGTTGTCATCACTCAACAGGTTTCTAAGTGCGGTGACAACGTTGCCTAACTTGCAGCAATATAATTGAAGGCTGTTCAGTCCAAATTACAAAGGACACTAAATTTACTGTAAAACAAAATATGATTTGTGATACTAGAAATGTTATTTACTTGATTGTTTGCAGTGGATGCAATGAAAAGTATATCGGAAAGACAGAACTTAAATTAAAAAGAAGTATGAATCTTCACCGTTCACAAATAAAGCAGCCACACAACCGTACGATTCCACTCAGTGAACATTTAGAAGCATGTGGAAACGGCAACTTTTTATTTTTCCCGCTATATAAGCTAAATTTTTATCATGAACCTACATTATTTCAAAAAGAGCAACATTTCATTCATAAATACGCGCCTAAGTTAAATGTAAAGGCGTAAGTTATTTGTCCATTGTCACCTTGGTATTGTGACGTCATAGTTTCCTAAATATTATGTTACTATATGTGACTACTTCATGTCCGTTATTCAGTTATGGCCTGATGAGACTCGTACATGGTACGAGTTGAAAGCGCTAGCCTATTAAAACTGTGTTCAATCTTACTCCACTTATTTAATTATATAT